AAAACATTAACAATTACGATTCAATAATATAATGTTATTATATATGAGTAATTTTTGCAAAATTTTATTGATTAATAAAATGATAATCGAATCATTTCATTAATCAATTACTAGTATTAAATATGGGTTTGAGGTAGGTAGGTGAAAATTTGGTTTTGAGTTTTTCGCATAAATATATGTATTCCAACATAGACATAAAACTCTGTTTGAAACAATAACAACGCATTACAGCATAAAATGGATTTCTAAGATTAAATCTTTCACCACTGATTCAAATAGTGCTACTTTTGATCGCAGTAGCATATTTTGATACGATTTTCCAAAGTTTATTTTTTATTAATAGAAGATCATAAAATCCGCTAATTATCTACATATATATAAAAATAAGTCGGGTCTTCTTTCCTGACGATATAATTCCAGAACGCACGAACCGATTTCGACAATTTTGCATTTGTTCGAAAGCTCTCAGGCTCCGCAAGGTTTATAGCTAAGAAAATTAGTGGTGTATCCACTAATTGCTGGAACTTCACGCACCGTAATTAAAAATTCGAGTAATGACATTATTGAGAATTATCAAAATTATGCTTGGTTAAGTCAACGAGCAATTCTTGCCGCAAAGAATAATGATGTACACGCAATGAATTTCACCATTCAATCAAAAATTGCTAGCGATTTGGTGACATATCAATGATTCCGACTGGTCTTCCGTTTGACTTCAAACGATTGCAATTTCCAGTTCGCCTTGCGTTCGCAACAACAAGTCGCAAGGCCAATCGCTTAGTGTTTGCGGGATGAATTTCAAATAGATTATTTAGAAAATCATTGTTTTTCACATGAGCAGTTATACGATGCCTGTTCACGAGTTGGAAAACCATCCGCTTTGTTTGTGTTAACGTCAGACCAAAAAACAAAAAATGTGGTTTACCAAAGAGCACTTCAATGAAACGGATAATTTGCGGATTCACTTTCATTTACTTAGAGAAGTTCAACTAAAAAATACTTCATTTTTGTAATCGAAATAAACTCATTACTGTTGTGTAATAAAATAAAAATTTTCCTTTTCAAATATAAAACAAACAGAAATTTCTTCATCTTTCTCACGAGACCACCGAGGCGAAACGGAGTTTGTCGGGTTTGCTAGTAAGAATATAAATCTATGTATGGATGAATTTGAAAAAATATAATAATGAGTAGATTAATTCATATGTCTCCTTATTCCCGAAATCGACCCTGTGCGTCTGCCCTCGAGCTAGGTTCGTTCGTCGGCGACTCGCGGACTATTTGGCTCGCAGCCAGGCCGCGTCACGTGAATACGAATCAGTGCTGGAATCCCTCACTTCGCCTATATTATATATACTCGTACACAATGCGACCGACCCCTTGGAGCGTCGCCGTCGCACTAGGAATATGATGATGCTTTTCGCATGGCCCATCTTTCAGCACAGCTTTGACTTGTTAGGAAACGAGCTAGTGAAACGATAACCGAATCGAATTAATCATAAAACCGAATTACTTTATAGCAATATTTTTTTATTTATTTATCTATACACCCACAGAGTAAAAGTCCAGAATATAATTAAATGATATGTTGAAATCCGTTTTGATATAAAATTGTTTAAATGCATATTTATGGCAAATTAAAATAGTTTCAAATATTGTTTATTAAACTGAAGTGGAGGCGGGGTTTGACAAAAAATCACAAAATATCACGTGTGGGAGGGCAAGGTATAGTAAGATATCAAGTGTATTTATTTTTTGACTTATTTTTTTTTAAATTCAAACATTTTCAAAAAAAAAATTCAAAAATTTTACAGTTTTATCGCGTAGCTAAAAATATACGTGATGTTTGGTGGGGGAAGGGGGTAATTTTGAATATCACCATGTATCACCAAGAGGGATAGGGGGTCCAAAAATCTTTAAAAACTTGCTCACGTGATTATTGGACGCCCCCCCCCAGTGATAAAATGACAATTGCATTTATCTAAAAATTCAAAAATTCAAAAATTTTACAGTTTTATCACGTAACTAAAAATACACGTAATGTTTGGTTTGGGAGGGGGGTTATTTTGAATATCACCATGTATTCCCAAGGGAAAAGGAGGGTCCAAAAATCCTTAAAACCTGGCTCACGTGATTAATGGACACCCCCCCAGTGATAAAATAATAATTGCATTTATCTGATATTTAAATATATAAGCACTAAAAATTTCAAAAATTGCTAATTATACATAATATTAAAGCAAATTATGTTTTTAGTTGTATGTATAGAGGGTGTCACAGAACTCAACATCAAGCTGAAATGGGATGGGATAGTACTGAAAAAATTCGAAACAAAATTTTTCTTACGTAGTTGAAAAATGATGAGCTTTTAAGTAAACCTAGAGCTCTGATAAAAAAGTGACAATTTTTTGGTAATTGTGGTTAATTATCATTAATTTTGTTCGTTTATACCTTAGATCCGTGTTCGTAAATAAAATTTTGAGAACCTCAGACATAAATAATGACACAATTGACGCAACTTTTCTGGAGTTATAACTTTTTATTGAACTAAGAATTCGAGAATTTCAAAATTGGTCCTAACATTTAAGAGGCACTACTTTAAAAAAAATGCACCGACGTGCATTGTAAAGTTTCATCAAAAGTTGGCGCAGTTAATCAACATTGCATAATGGTAAAATACGTACTTTTTAATTTTATAATAAAAAATCAAGTAAAAACATTTAAAACCTAAATATAACACGATATCATCCAACGAATTTGGCATACAGACAAATATGATTAAATAAATAGTCATCATAATGAATTTGCTTTCAAATTTCTTCAATACCATTATACCTATTAAAAAACATTACATGCCAATTGATAGTAAAGCAAAAATCACATGTTTTTATATTTTTCATAGAATAGGCTATTGAAATAGCCGTTTCAATTTTTTATTTTATCTATATCGTACGAAATTCCAAGAATAGTAACGCAAATAATCAAAACAATGTGTTAATGAAATATAGTAAAAGTTAGTCCGGACCCCACTAGTCCCCGGCATCGTTTCGGTGATTTTTGGTTTTTGAGAAAACCGCCGCGTCTTTTAAAGACTGTTTTCATTTTGCACTTTGCACTGTTTTTTTAGTTTAATTCTAAACTTAATTGTTTTTATAATTACCGGCCAAAAGTTCGGATCTTTCGATAGTCCGGCACCTAAGACGAGCGTTCTAGACTTCAATTTGAAAAACTAATACGCTTTTTTAGTAAAACAGGAAATAAATCTTCGATAAACGGTTTAAAAATATATATTAAACATTTTATATTTTAATTCATGATAAAATTATGAATAATATGTGTAAAAACACAGCATTTTTTGCGAGAATATATTGTATGTATGTTTTGCCGCGAATTCAAGTTTGATGAACCTGAATAAAAAGTATCCCGACGTTTGTCTATGATGAAGTATGTATTTCGCATTCTCTTCTTTCTCCTTTGACTTATACCCCTACGCGAATGGGGGGTCTGGTCCCTCTTCTCTTCGAGAGAATGCGAGGTGCATCAGACAATGTAAATTGGCCCTATTATATGTAAGTCGTTAGACGGTGGATTTCTATGAGCTATATTTGTCTAAACGTATGTGAAACTAAGTGATTTGCATACGTAAGTAAGAGAGTTGGATAGAGTTTCGCTTTTGACGGTATTGAATATGACAGAAATCTCATTTACTTCATTATTTGTCTTAACCAGTGGTGAAACGCATCACGAAAAATTTACATAGACTGGAAACATGAATATTTGATTAGGACACATAGAAATGAATTCTGTAGAACATACAAGGTCACATATTTGTATTGCTAATATATGACTAATATATTACTAATATTCATAGTATTATATCAAATGCATTTTTATTTATGATACTACTGTGATGCCGATCTTTATACTCATATATTAGTACCAATTATCAAATTCATAATTTCCACTCAAAATACAGCAGTAATAAACAAGATTAGTAGTAATACGTACAAAGTGTAGTTAATAAAGCTATTTGATATGCTTACTATTGCCAAAAATTTAAATTAATTGCAAGTGTAATAATATTTTTAGTTCGTAGATAAGATATTCTAAACTTCCGATTTTGATCCCACATTTGCCAAGTTTGATATCAAGCAGTATGATACCAAATTTTGACTTGAGGTTATAGATCTCGAATAAAAGCTCATGTAAAAATCGACTTTCGTGGGCATTGCTGCAACACGTACAAACTAACACTTGGATACACATATTTAGTTCATGATGGGAAATGGAAAATTCATGTTTAGATTTTATCTGTTAAACTATGAATTTATTTGCTTTTAAAATTTTGGATTCCGGTCAATGTTAACCATTTGTGTGATAGCCAAATAAATTTTTAATCTTTTACCGATGCCAAAAATAAAATGACCATGAACGAAATAAATGCTGAATATATTAGGGATATCGAATGCATTTAGAAAATTTACGTGCATGTTTTTTTAAAAACTTCATTTCACATGATTAACAAAATAGAAATTCACTATATAGTAGCTGTTTTTATATAAAGAATTTTTTTAAATAATCACTATTTTGTTTAAAAGCTACATTTTTAATTAATTTCAATATATTAAGAGTTGATTATATAAATTATTTATATATGAAAATTTTCACATTATATTAAGATAGGCTGTCTTAAAATCATAAAAAACAGCTCATAGTCTGGAATAATTAATTTATATTAAAAAAATATTAAATGTAATAGTTTAATTTAATTGCTGGGTTATTTTATATCTATGTCATAATGATTATTGAATGAATTTCAATAAATACAAATATATATTTTGTATTTTTAATTCCGAACATTCTAAAGGGCAAAATGACATAAAAACTTCGATGGACCAACAAAATTTCAGATTAAGATAAGGTGACAAATTTTATCAGTATATCAAAAAATGTGACAATATAATCTAAACTGAACCAATAATAATCAAAAATATTCCTACCTGGTCTAAGTTGTCCATCGATATCTGCAATGGATCCCTTTTTGACTTTCTCGATAATAGCTCCTCGTGAACCGTTTTCTAACAATCTACCTCCAACAACTTTGAGACCCAAAATAGCTGCATTTAACGAAGGATTTAATCCACCACTTCCTTGGTCTAACATTATGTTCTTCCTAAGCACCATGTGGCCTACCATCCGGGTACCATCTGCAGACACTTGCCACGACAAGGAGTTCTGGACAAGGTGGCGGGGGAAAAAATATTTGGATTAGTTGATGATAAAAAATAAATTTATAAAAGAACGATTGGATTTGAATATTTAATTTAATTAAGTAAAGCTATTATACTGTCGGTTCTATTCTGTCCACAAACGAATAAAATTTAGATTTTTATTTAGACCTATTTGCTATCATTTCTAAAAATTTACATATACATTTTATAGCATTTGGAGCTAAATTAAACAAACAGACGTTGTTAAAAATACATGAATTTATTATGGATATTTCAGAGTTATTTTAAAATGAATAAAAAATGATTTTGACTAATGAATCTAAGATTGATATTGAATTAATCTAATTAAATCTGCATAAAATTTATCTGAAGTACTAACAATTTAGCATGTTCTAATTACTAATTGATCAGCACTGAATTGTAATTATTTTTCAAATTAGCAAAAAGATAAAAAAAATTAGATTAAAAAAAAATTTAAAAATCTATAAAAAATCTACTTTTACTATGAAAAAATTGTAAAAAAATTAAACTAGTCATTTTTATTATTAATCTATCTTATATATATATATATATATATATATATATATATATATATTGCATAGAAATTAAGGGTTTATAAAAAACTGTTCTAGCCTATTTACAATACATTTCACCTGAATAGCATACTATAACGATTCACATAAAAAACATGCACTAGAGCTCATGCTGATAAATAATAATTTACATATGCATATGTATATTTTTATATATGGTTGGAAAATTTCCCATACGATTTATGAATTATTGTACTTTTTATGTCTTATAAATCTGTATCAATCGTATAAAATTATCTACAAAGTAAATTTGAAAGGATCTTTCAAGCGTAGGAATATTTTCATGTGTTTCACTCAAATAGGTATTATGAAGCACCTTGCAAATGACCTTTCCAGATTGTTTTTATGAATCTGTTGCTTATATATTATTTCTTCTGCTACATATAACATAACGTAAACATGATTTTAATAATTGGGTTTTTTGAATATAAGGTCAAAGATCACGTCTTTTGAAATATGCCTTAATAATAATCAAATTAGACGGCGAGATAATTGTCAGAAATTAGGTAGAAGATTTAATAAATTATTATGGAAGGAAATATTTTTTATTGAGTAACGAGGTATAACGTGTTTCTACCCGGTCGATTGATTGCTTTTTACATCAACTCTTTATGATAAAAATAATTTAGATAAAAAATTTATTACACGCATAGGTGAACGAGATTGCATACCCTGAACAGAAGTGCCCTACTTTAATAGCTTCGATGGAAGAAATATAACTTTGTAACACCTTTTGCAAATATTACTATTTTAACATCTATTTTAGAAAAAATTATAAAAAAGTTTTAAAATATTTTGTAAAATTAACCCACATTAACCTGATGTACTATTTATTAATTGCCAATTGGAGCGAAATGATAACTCATTGAAGCGCATAATTATCTTTACAACTTTCGAACCATATTTCTTATATGAATAAATCGTTGAACATATTTAAACAAATTTAAATATTTCATAACATGTTGCAAAGTGGACTGAGTACGTCTCTCACAGTTTTTTTCTGATCAGAAATAATTTTGTTAATTTGCCAGATCTCAGAGAGAAAAGTGGATTGAATGGTAATTTAAGTGAAATGGTATAAATATTGAAATACTGTCTTTAAATACGATGGATTGGTCATAAAATATTCTATGATCATAATGCTCCACAAAAATATAGCAAAAATTTAAAAATTAACCTGAGAAATATTTTTTATTAACCCTTATATTTTATAATCTTCTAATTTATACACGCTAAAATTAGTGGATTTATAATTTTTATATCATTTGGAATTAAAAATTTATCATATCATAGGAAAGACAAACTTGCTCAAAAATTAGTCTGAACTTGCTAGGATAATCAAATGTAAATATTACGCATAGAAAAAGTTTTCAAACTCTGTTTTCATAACGTAACATGTATATTTCAATATTACGCGATTAGAAAATCGTTTTACACGTCCTTACGATATCAGAATATATATAATATAATGCAGTCCCACATTATATATCCATAAAAAATGAAGTAACTGATATCATATCAAAAAATGTACTTGGATGATCCAGAAAAAAGAAAAATATAAGTTGTATAGAATATACAAAAAAGAAATCAAATGTTTGCCAAATTATATGCCAAAAGGATATAGCCAAAATTGACGCAAATAATTGTTAAAATAATGTATATTTTGATTGGCAATAATTATATGCAAAAAAAAAAATTATTGTCATCTCGATTACGATCCATTGAAAATTTCTATGCGATTCTAATTCTGTAAAATGTGTATTTGTTTTATAACTATCATAAAATTTCTTTATATACGTAGAAACTATCCATTAAATTAATTATTAACAATTATTTCTCATATTCAAAAGATTTTTTCACGAACCCTTCCAAGAACCCTTAAGTAGATTTTTGACCCTGATGATCAAATTTTTTAATGATATTTTTCGATATTATTTTTCAATGAATATATAAACGTCCAGAATTGCATTTAATACGAGATTAATAAATCCATCACCCTGAATAATAAATGTATGCATTTTATTCTAAAATGCTTACCTGGTGAATTTTCAATGGACGATTGATGGATCCAAAGCCATACCAATACAGTTTTCCATGCTAGGCGAGAAGGAACAAATATACAGCATATTCACAAGCACTAACATAGAAATTACTTAATTTTTTAGTAACCATAAAAATCAAGCATGCACAATTATAATATCCTGTACTAAGCTAGTTTGTCCATAATACCCATTCCATGCCCATTACATTAAATTTATTGAAAACAATTGCATTAAGAAGGAATAAAATAAATTATTGATCAATTAGGAAATAAAATTGACGCAAAACGGGTTATAAAATTTGAAAAAAGAAACTTTTAATTTATGGATATTTCAAAAATTAGGATTTTAATGCAACTAATTTCAATTTTACAGACTTGTTCGAAACCAGTAACTCTCGCCCCATGCCTAACATAAGTCTAAGATGATAACATTTGAAAGTATCGTAAAAAGATAGTAGGTATGTAAGGTATTTTATAGTAGTCTTCAAAAGATTATATTCAGTTGTGAAATATATAAGCAAAATTCAAAGTTTTATTCATAAAATATAAGAAAAGTTGGTTAAAAACTTAAATTTAATTCTACCTAAAAATTGCTTAAAAACTATTTTATATAAAATTAATATCAAATGCTGAAAATTACTTCTGAAGACTACTTATATAAAGTCTAATGTATGTGTATGATAAACTCATATAAAAACTAAAAATTTGAATGTTTAAAAAATATTTCAGAAAACGTACTAAAAAAGATGATGTATAATGAATATAATGTGAGCATTTTTATAAAAAATGTTTTATCAATATTAAGAACTAATTCTAAGATGTTACGTTTTATGTGATTGCATTATCTTGAACAAAATATTTGTTCATTTGGCTAAATAATTTATTTAGCATATAATAAGCAATGGTAAGATGTTTATATGTTTATACTAAATACTTAGTATAAAAAAATTGTTAGTTAATATTGTATATAACTAAACTAAAAATTGAATTAAACTGAGTCGTATGTACAGTAATTGGTCTTTTACTTGTATGTTATATCTACAGCAGTTTTCTTGTACCTATTTTTTAATATAATATTTAAAGTAAAAGAACGGTAAAACGTGAATTTCAAAATCATCTTTAATTAATTATATATATATATATATATACATATATATAAGGTGTCCAACGTGTCAACGTCAAGCTGAAACAGTGATAGTATCGATAACTATTATGAAAGAAATCAGAATAAAAACATTATCTAATGTAGTTTAAAAAATTATGAGCTTTTAAGTGCAACCTAGAGCTTTGGTGAAAATGTGACCATTTAATGGTAAATGTAATTCGTCAAATTTGCGAGACCCTACTTTGGAAAAAAATGAACTAAAACAAGTAGGCAAGTTTCATCAAAAGTAGGCGCTTTAGTAAGTGTTGTAAACTAGTAAAATACTAGATGATAGATTTATAATAAAAAGAATCGAGTAAAAATATAATAACATCTGACGGTGGCCTAGAAATATTATTTACGATTACGGATCTAAAGCTTAACCCCTTAACTTACAATTTAGATTCGAAAATATCGGCCCAAAGTTGTTCAAGCTGGCGCGGCGTTGTGACTATTTTCCCTCATAGTGTACGGTTTATCACAAAAACAAAAATAATTTTGTGTTTTACAGTTTCGTATGAATAAATATTTTATAATACTTGCGTTTACCATACTGGGCCATGCTCGAAATGCGTAATATTTGCTTCTGGCCCGTAAATCGTACGCGGGCTATGCCCGTAATATACATTTTTGGCCTAGCAATCGCTAGCGGGCTCTGCTCGTCATTTTAAGTTAAGGGGTTAAAAGTATAAAATTAACCGCAATAAACAAAAAATGGTCTCATTTTTATCAAAGCTCTAGGTTCCGCCTAAAACTCATAACTTTCATATTATGTGAGGTCATTGTTTTTTCAAATTCTTTTGGTGAGAGTTATAATCAATACTATCCTCCAATTTCGGCTTTATGTCCAAAGTTTATGGACACCCTGTATATAAAAATGTTTATATTGTAACGACAATTGGTATTATCGTCAAAGGGTTGCACAACCCTCAGTGCAAATGGACTCCCCCATCTATTTCTACTAGGGTTATAGTTAACAATATAATTTTGTAGTGAAATTTCAGGTATGAGAAATCTCGAATAAATTTGGTATTAATTCGAGCATATAGTCCATGACTAAAATATCATTGTAAGTTCAAAATTTATTCATAAAAAACAGAAAGATCTAAAAGTTATCTCGTGAAACAATACGACTAGTTTTACCGTTCTAGTACTTCAATCCACAAATATAACAATTACCAATTACACTTATCGTTATGATCAAAACAATCGCCTTATGATCTGCCTTGCAAACCATCAGTAATCACCTTTGGTCCATCTCCTCTGTTCGAGTCCTCGCTGGAAGTAAAGGTGCTACTGGTGTCGATGCCTGAATCCTTCGTCGCAGAGTCCTGCGATCCTTGGCGATCGCTGTCCCACCGCATGGGCGGACCGCCGCAACCGCCGCCCGTCTGCCAATCGCCGTAATCGTGATGTCCATCGAACCTTACCGTCTTTTTTCTGCGTTCGGTGAACTTTCGAGCGTCGGCATCAGAATCGCGATCGGCGTCCCGTCGACGCCGTCCAGACGGTTGCCGATCGTGATCAGTTCGCGGCAGACGGGCGGCGGCTGAAGCGGCAGCAGCTGCTGCAGCAGCAGCCTCTGCGCGCGCCCTTTGCGACAGCAGACGCGCAGACTCTTCGTCCTCGACTCCGGAGACGTGGTAGTCGTCGTGCAGCCGAGACGAGTGTTGCAAGAGGCTCTCTATATGGGGCAGACGCGACAATAGACAATGTATACCGGCGGTCATGGCAGAGTTAAATTCAGGAAGGTTCTTAATCAAATTATAGCTTACTAGGTAATAATTTAATAAAAAAAATATGTGTTTGAATAAATCATACGAAAACTATCTAAAAATTTATACTTATACTCGAAAAATGAATACTTTTCCATCAATAGGAATGAATATATTCAGTCAACATTCAATTAAAAATATTATAAAAAATCTTATTCCAAAACGTTTATTCACATATCTACTCCGTTGAAATAAAATATTAAATTAAAAATTCTTTACATCTCAATTGTTTTTGAACAAAATGTGTACTGGTATACACTACAATTAATGAAGTATATCATTTGATTAAGGGGTTCTATTCTGGTCATAAATTTTATGCAATTTTTGAAAGGTCGCAAAAAGACAGACAATACTTTCACTATATTTGTTTCCACAAGTATTAATGAACAATATTAGAATATATAACAAAGTTGAATTGGTCATAAAGTTTTAATTCTAGAAGGAGATAAAGTGGAGGGTATCAAAAATTTGGCTCTTAACCATTCCCATGATCATAGTACTTCAAATAACATGAAGAAAGCAATATTTATATATGTATCATTAATCTGGAAGAGCTATCGTACGAATTGCAAACAAGTTAAAAAATGGTTCTTGAACAAAATAGCGACTGACTGAAATACATATATATAATTTTGATATTCTCGATTTTTTAAAACTAGTAAAAATCGGAATTTTGGGATGAACCGATAAGTTCATTCGGTATGATAGTTTCTTACTGAAGAAAAGTCTATGAGAAAGACCCTGTAAAATTTGTTTTTAAATAAATCGGTTCAGTAAAAATTTAGAAACCGTGGATATCGCATCGAAAAAAACATTTTCGTAAAAAACGCATTTTAACTTTCACTGAGGTAGAAAACAGAGGAGGATTATCGTGTTCAAGAAGATATCTCTTGAAGATAGTTCTTGAATAATTGAGCTTTGAAAATATACAAAAAAGTCAAATCGTTTATTATAAAATTATAGACCAAAATACTTCTTTAAATAATACTACCGAAAGCTTATCCACTGTTTAGGGTTTTTCGCAAATAAAATGATGTATTCGACTTATAGTATTTAAAATTTGATTTTAAAATGTAGTCTAGTAATACTATTTGCTTAGAAATAAAAGAATGTAAAACAAACCCAGAAATTGTATTTTCATTCCACATTGTGAATAAACGTTAAAGAATAAAATATTAGAATAATCTATTATGTATAACTAAATTTTTAACTGTAATATTTTTTCAGAATCTATTCTATGATAAAATAAACGGTTGCTTCTTGTGATTTATACTCTAATAAAACAACTTTTTAAATAAAATTGGTAATAACAAAAAGTAAATAATATCAATAAAAGAAAAGATTATTCAATTATGTATTTGGTACATAATAGATTGTAATACTCTAATATTAATTTTGTTTATATATATATATATATATATATATATAATATATATATATATATATGTATATATATATGTATATATATATATATATATATATATATATAGATTGTTTCTTTTCCGAACAGTAAATCCAATAATAAAAAACAATTTGTTTTTTGAAGATGTTTAATACGACGTTTCGGAACTAGGTACGTTCCATCATCAGGTTTATTCTGTCAAATACACCTTTGAACCCAATATTTTATATAGAGAGGATTGTACTTTTAAAAGACTTTTTTCTGAAAGCAGTTTAATCTTTTTGAATTCGTCAAAAAGTGTTAATAAAAGATCAGATCACAATATCATTCATGACTCATATTTAAATTTTTTAAACCTGATTAAAAATAATTAATCCTAATAGTTTTTGAATATGTGTATATATATACATGTATGTATGTTATAATATATGTACATCCATATATATGCTTATATGTATGTTTTTGGGTATACACTATACACATACACTTGCATATGTGTTCATGTGTATAATTGTGGATACATTAATATATAGATATGTGCATATGTATGTATGAGTATGTAGGTGTGCATATACATGTTCATGTATGTATGTATATATATATATATATATATATATATATATATACATAATATTTCTCAACATTTACTAAAGCAATATTTTTCCTTTTTTCGTAAATTATCAAACAAGAGCCATAAAAAATCATTTTTGCCAAGAGTTCCGTGCTTTGTCCTTTACATCTGGCAGACAGAAATCCATATCAGTGTGTTTAAGTCTTGTGTAGTCGTAACATCTACAAATATCTTCCAAAAAAATCGAGTGTTTTTAACAAAAAAATATTAGTGATATGGATATATAAATTATTACAGGTAAATAATTTTTGCTTCTCAATTTTATATAAAACCTTTTTTAGTTAAGTCTTATTACTATCTATCCGGTACATAATCCATTCCTTTATAACAAAATTTTTTTTCTAATTAATCTGTATTGACCATTGTTAATTAATGTTAATCAGTATTTTAAAAAACATTGTATTTGACAGAATAAACCTGATGATGGAACGTACCTAGTTCCGAAACGTCGTATTAAACATCTTCAAAAACAAATTGTTTTTTATTATTGGATTTACTGTTCGGAAAAGAAACAATCAATATATTGAAAAAATCCAGGACTTATCTATTGAATATACTCCAGAACACAATGGGACGAAATTTCTTTCAATCACTGTCAAACACTTCAGACCACAAGCACCACACTCTGATGAAAACATTTTCAAAACTCAATATTAAATATGCAAAAGCCATCAACAAAAAAATATTTTTATTACGATGTAAAAATGAATGGATTATACCGAATTTCATAACTAATATTATCAACCAACAGTTTTTACAAACAACTTCAAATATATATAAAATTGAGCGGCAAATATCATACTTACAAAATTCAGTACTTAAATTAGAAATAAAAAATTCTTTTATTGACATAAAAAATAAAAAAACACGAATAGATCAGATAATAAATACACTCCGAGAAACAATAGATAAAAATACTTTTAATAAATTTTTAGAATTCGAAAATAAAAAATACGATAAACACTTTCATATTATTAAAAATAAACAAATACAGAAATTGAAAAATCTTATACAAATTCGAGATAAAAATTATCCATTTCATGTTTCTAAATTTTCGATAGACAAATGGCTAATAAATAAAACCAATATAGTCATTCCAGAAAATATCCAATACATTTTAGCACTCGGTCCAAAATTCAATTACGCACCTAGTAAATACAGAAATAATGACTTCATAAAAATTTTAAGTAACATAGAATACAATATCAGGAACATTGAGACTGACAAGCAAAATCGAATCAGGTCAAAACTATGTGAAAAACTAGTTAAACAATTAAAAAAAGTTGATAAGAGTTTCCAACATATTCATCTTAAAAGACTACACAAAGATATAGCGGAGACCAAATTATTCATTAAATCTAATAATATAATTGTTTGTCCAGCAGATAAAGGCAATATGACGGTAATTCTTGACAAAGAATTTTATACTAACACTACATTACGAATGCTAAAAGATGATACTACTTACAAAATCATTACAAATGATCCAACACAACAGTTTTCTAGACAATCAATTAAATTAATTAATGAATTAAAAAATAAAAATTCATTTCTGACAAATTTGCCTATAATTTAAAAGTACAACATCCTATTTCCCCAAAAATGTATTGTCTCCCCAAAGTCCACAAACCTGAATGCTCCTTTAGACCCATTGTATCCTACGTTGGCTCCCCATTCTATAATATCGCTAAACACATTGCTAATATTTTAAAAAATGTCACAATTTCCTCTCCTCACTATGTAAAGAACTCTTACCAATTTGTGGATCTAATCAAAGACCGAAACATTACGGACGATCAAATTTTTCTAAGCCTTGATGTAATTAACCTTTTCACATGTGTTCCCCATGATTTAATACTTGATTCAATTGAAAAACGCTGGCCCACTATTTGTAACTACACCGACTTGCCCATAACCACTTTCAAACACATCATTAACACTGTCCTGAATTGCTCTTATTTTAATTGTTTCAATAATTTTTATCTACAAATCAAAGGTACTGCTATGGGTTGCCCATTATCCCCTGGCATCATAGACCTAGTTTTACAAACCCTTGAAATTTCCGTTTTCTCCACATTAAATTTCCAAATATATTTTTACGTTAGATATGTAGATGACACTTTTTTTATAATAGACAAAGAACAATCAGATATAATAATCGATACCTTTAACAATTACAATAAGAGCATTCAGTTCACACATGAAACACAAATCGACAACAAATTAAACTTTTTAGACGTGACTGTACACAAAATTGACAACATTATTTGCACAAATTGGTACAGAAAAACTACATGGTCCGGGAGATACCTTCATTACGCGTCATATTGTCCCAAAAATTATAAAGTCAATACAATCATTTCTTTGATAGACCACGCAATCATGTTGTCTCACTCCTCTTTTCATACCCAAAACACAACATTAGTAACTAAAACTTTATTAGAAAACGGATATCCCCTCACCCTCATCAATTCCATTACCAATAAAAGACTTTCCTATCATAAAAGTAACAATTATCAATCCATCTCCAAGTTATTCCAAGACAACAATATTAAACCAACTTTTCACAGCATGCCTTACATTGAAGGCTTATTTGATTATTTTGCCAAATTACTCAAAGAAGAAAATATTTTCATTTCAGGAACAGCTCTATATTCTTTTAAAGAAATGTTTTCAAAAATTAAATCCACCACCCCTCCTAAATTCAATACTAACATAGTTTATTCCATCCCTTGCAAAAATTGTCAAAAACAATACATTGGCCAAACATCACAGTACATTCATAAGAGAATGAGACAACATGAATTAAGCGTCACTCATCATAAAAGCCGAAATTTCCAAAGTACTCTTGTTCAGCATTCCATCGAAAACTCACATAATTTCACCTTTGAACCCAATATTTTATATAGAGAGGATTGTACT